ATATAGTGCGCAATCCCAAGCAAGCAGCCTCCTTAAATCTTTTTTATGTATTCTTCTCCTATACATTTCATCCCAACATCAATTACCCCCTTCCTCCACCCCTCCCAGTCCCTTCTCCCAACCTCCCCTCTCCCCGAGATTCACTCCTCTGTTTCTCTTCAGAGAAGAGTGGACCTTCCAGGGATATCAACTGAACACAGCATAACAAGTTACAGTAAGGCTAGGCACAAAGCTTCATATGAAGGCTGAATAAGGCAGCCCGGTAGGAGGAAAAGGCTCCCAAGAGCAGGCAAAAGAGTCAGAGACACCCCACTCCCACTGTCAGTAGTCCCACAGAAATTCTAAGCGAAACTATAACATATGCAGAGGATCTAGTTTGACCCATACAGGCCCCTGATTATCACTTCAATCGCTATGAGCTGTAAAAGGAACTATAACTCACCTATTTCCGTTGTCATCTCGGAGGCTTACTGCCTCCTCTGCTAGCCTAGGCCTAGTTGTGGAAGCTTCCTGCCTCCATACAATCTAACCTAGGCCTAGAATGTTTTCAGCCTCTGAGACTTACAGTTTAATAAGTTCACCCTTTCTTGTTCTTTCTGAGCTCGTAGCTGGCTTGTTCAATTCAGTTGTTCTGGTTCAAGCTCCTCTCTGAGTTAACTTATTCAATCTGGCTTCTCTCTCGGCCCCAGAACTGCTCTGCTTGGCTTCAAACTAACTCTGTTCTAATCTCCTGGCTCATTCTTATTCTCTGGCTCATTTGGTCTTCACCTAAGTCTAGCTTGTTCTCCTCTCTCTCTCTCTGCAAACTGTCTCTCTATTACTGACCCATAAAACTGTCTCCTCTCTCAATCTGTGTTGCTCCTTTAAGTAGCTTCCCTTTCCTCTCTGTTCTTGTGAGAGTTTGGTGTATCTTACTCTGTCAAATCATTCTCTGATTCTTTTTCTGCCGCTCAATTAGACATCACTTTCAAACATGGGTGTTTCCTTCTATAAACTAACTTTACCTTCATTGCTTGGGATTAAAGGCATGTACCACCATGACTGGACCTAAGCTTTTCTTTACCTGAAATTTGCTCTATACCAGGCTGGCCTTGAACTCAGATCTACTTGCCTGTCTCCTGGATTCAAGGCATGTTTGTATCCCAGCTGGATCACACAGACCTTTATTTATCTTTGGATGTGATCTCTTGCCAGAGCAGCCATGTTCTAAATTTAAATTCCTCTACAGTGAGCCTCTATCAGCCCCACTTGGTTGATTCTGTGGGCATGTTCTCCTGGCGTCCCCAACCCTTCTGGCTCCTCAACCCTTCTTCCCCTTCTCATGCAGGATTCCCTGAGCTCCACCGAATCTTTGTCTGTGTTTTCAGCCTCTGCTCCCATGAGTTGCTGGATCTTTCTTAAACATCCATTTAAAATGTCCCCTGTTGTTGAAAATAAAAGGGGCTATTGATGTTTATTAGTGATAGTCTATAATTATCATGGCGGGTAATATCTAACCTGCTACTGTACCAATGAAGGACACAGACTACTGTTAGATTTTGACACTGGACACTGGACTGGGCAGATGCTAACTTTCTAAACTGTCTTTTGTCTCCCCTCCCACATCACTTGTTATGCTCTAATCATTCCTATATGAGCCACTTCCCGTCCATAATCCCATAAGTACTTGCACATGCTTTCCACCTGGGCTGCTTTCTTCATCCCCAGCCACGTTTTTCTCTCCATGCTAACCCACAGTTGCTGTGCTTCCCCTCTCCCCTTCTTACCCGCCCCCCAATCTTCTGTCCTCCAAGCCCTCAAAGCCTGGCCATGCCTACCTCACTTTTGCCCTGCCCAGTTAGGTATTTTATTGAGGGATAATTTGGAGGTAAGGTTACAGAGCACCACCTTGGTATGTTTGCCTGAGGGACTGGTCACAGAACAGTAAGAATCTTGGGGGAAATCAACTAACATCTGAATACAAAGCACCAGACCGTCTCATAACAGTACTCCCTGGAGACTTCATGGCTGCAGGGAGGATAACTTCTCACCTGGCAATGTGGAATGTGGAAGGCAAAGAATATGCTGGGGGGAAAGAACAGACACGTATACCGAAGCGTCTTTCAAAGCCGGTAACCAGAACATTGAGCAAACGTGGAAAACACTAGAAGAGCAAACACAGAAGCTTAAAAGATACTACTTACAGCAGTTCCTGAATGTGCTATAGCAGCTGGACGTGGTTGTGCAGAAATGTAAGGAACGGAGGGTGTGCAGAACAATGGTCATCTGCTTACTGGCACAAAGTGAACTTTAAGAAGAAATAGCTAAGTCATAAAAGAAGTAACGAGGAAAACTGTGAATTCTGCTTCAAATGGCAAAGGTATACATAAAAAGAAGCACTGGAATGTTTTATTTGCTTAATTTTTTTTTTTAATAGTTTCTCTGTGTAGCCCTGGCTGTCCTGGAACTCACTCTGTAGACCAGGCTGGCCTTGAATTCACAGAGTTCACCTGCCCCAGCCTTCCCAAGTGCTGGGAGTACAGGCGTGCCCCACCAATACCAGGCAAATTGCTAAAATTTCTATAACACTTAACCAAAAATTAAACTCCTTTCATAAGCAGCAACAGAGAGATAGCAAGTGTTCAAATGTCTCTTCTGTCCTTGTTATTCATATGACCCTTTAAAGAAAGAACTTGGACCTATGCATCCTGATACAATTACAACATTAGCTAAGAGCCTGTCTTTGGAGTAGGCATTCTAGTTTAAACTACAATATCTGAAATCGTTCACTTGTTCAAGTGCAAATCTTGTGTTCCTGTTAACTTCTCAGTAAATCCAAATGGCTATGTGAATAGCAGCTATTCTAATGTATCAAGCTTTCAGCCCTTCAGTTACAATAGTGAACTTTTCTCTCCACCCTTATATCAATAAAGATGATTTTTAAAATACAATGGTTCCTTTTCTAACCATGTTGTTTTACTATTTATTATGTACTGCTGGCCTCTTCCACAAGAATGTATTTTGTGAGAAGCTTACACACTCTCTGTGTCTCTCTCTCTCTAACCTAATTTTTGTTCTCTGTACCCTGAGAAAGACAGCAATATTTGTGCCTATTACCTCTCCTAAGAGAATAATAGCCCCATGACCACAAGTGCTATTTCTATTCTAGTCATGCTTGTGTTTTCTAATCCCAGAAACAAAAATCCAACATAAACTAGTTTCTCTCTCTCTCTCTCTCTATATATATATGTATATATATATATTCATATACATAGTCTCAATGAATACATATATATTATATATTATATATATAATATATATATAACAGTGCAAATATATATATTATATATATTTGCATATTATATATATATAATATATATATTATATATATTTGCACTGTTAGGGGTTGAACATAATGATGCAGGATCCTCAGCTCCAGCCCCCTTTTCAGGTTTTATTTTGAGACTGACTAAAATGCCCATGTTGGTCTTGAACCATTAAGCAACACCTCTTTTTCCATTAGTGTGTGTTAATTGTACAAGCGATTCGTTTTGTTATGACATTTTCATACCTGCCTATTATGTCCTTCTATCAAATCCACTTCCTCAGTTACCCTCTTAGACCCTCTCTTTTTCCTTCTAATGAATATCTCTTAATGAACAGCTTTGGTAAGTGAGGTAACAGTTTGATAAGGATACAGAGCATGTAATGGAATACAGTCAATCTTCAGTAAATGCTGCCTGCTACGTAACGATAGCAAAGACTGTGACAACAATCATAAGCACAGCTATGAAGCTCACCTTACGCTCTGAAAAATCCCTTCTTTCTCTCTGAGCCTTTAATTGCATAACCCCTTCATAGGCTCCTTCCCTTCATCTAAGTATATGTCATATTTTCCCACTTAAAAAAAAAAAAAAAAAAAAGCTAAAACAGGGCAGAGAAAATGGTTCAGTGAGCAAAGCCACTTGCTGCCAAGTCTGACCACCTGGGTTGGATCCCTGCTACCCACATGGTAGAAGAAAAGAAAAGGGACTTCCCCAGGTCAATCTTCTGCTGTGCTTGTTTGCCTCCCTAAGGCTGAAGGGTAAGACCTGGTTGCTGAAGACACCACATACCTCAGATTTGTCAGGACTTGAAAAATCCCAGCTGGTTCTGACCTGGAAGCCTCCTCCCTAAGGTCTAGCTTTATTATTTTAGGAGTCTCTTGGACTACCGTGACCAACAACATGAAATGGGGTATCTCTTGCCTAATACTGAGATTTTCTTAGCTAGCCTATGGCTCTGGTGTGGAGCACTGTCAGCTCAACACAATGATTCTCTTCCCTAAGTCAGGCTTTTGGAGCTCATAGTCAAGGGAAATGAAAGAGAAAGAAAACGAAAAACGTGTTGATGCAGTTACGGAAGAGAACAAACACCATCCTTTCCTGGAAGGACAGTGAGTTCCCACTGGTGGCTTTAAAACAAAACAAGAGCTGCTTTTTGTTATTTGGTTGGTTGGTTTGCTGTTCTTTTGTTTTGTTTGGTTTGGTTGGTTGGGTTTTCGAGACGGGGTTTTCTCTGCGTAGCCTTGGCTGACATGGGCTCGCCTAGGTAAACCAGGCCGGCCTTGAACTCACGGAGATCCGCCTGCCTCAGTCTCCAGAATGCAGGGATTCCAGGCGTGCGCCACCTCGCCCGGCTCGGTGTCTATCTTTTATAGATGTAATTCTTTGGCTCTGCCCACTGCCAGCTCTCTGAAGGTGGGGTAGGGAGGAGGCTGGGTAGATAATCTACTTCAGGGACCTCTGGCCGCGCCAGCCCCGCCTTCCCTGAGCTGTGGCCACGCCCCCTCCTCCCCTTCACCGCTGCCCCCCCACGCTCCGCGCTGCCCGTGGCCTGCCCCGTGACGTCATGACGCTTCGCGGCCCAATCAGCGGCGACGCCGAGGACATTTTAAACTTAAAGGCGGGGCGGCGCAGGGGCCTGGTGGGCGCCGTTGGGCTTCCAGGCTGCGTTGGGTTTTCCTGGGTGCAGCGAGCGGGATGGCGGAGGAGGCGGCGGTGGCCGTGTGCGTGCGGGTGCGGCCGCTCAACAGCAGGTAGGCGGCAGCCGGGCGGCAGCGCTGCCCCCTGGGCTGCGGACCTGCGCCCGGGGCCCCCTGACGCCCGGGAGCAGGACTCGCTGTTTCCCCGACCCTGCCGTCATCGTCTGGTGGACGGGAACAGAAAAGGTTCAGAAGTGGAGAAGGGTTGCAAATGCCAGAAAGAAAAGGCAGGGAGGAGGAAGTGAAGTCTGCTGGGCTTGCTAGCTGGCGTCCGGCCGGCCTTCAACTAGAGATGCCAAATCCTTTCTCTTGCTGGATGCGAAATTGGTATTGAACCTGGTATTGAACCGCTGGTCAATAGGTGAGATTCCCAAAATGGGGAATTTCTTGCACTTAAGTCCTTTCCCCAACTTGGGGAAAGTTGTCTTCTTTGTTAGCTTTAGCTGTCAGCTTGACAGCCCAGCGTCCGTCATCTGAGGGAGTCACAGTTGGAGGATTACCTCGATGAGATTGGCCTGTGGTATGTCCTGGTGGCCTTTTCTTGTTTCTTGACTTCTTTCGGTGCTGGAAGTGTAAGCTGATATAAACGTTTTCCTCTCCAACTTGTTTTTGGTCAGAATGATTTATCACAGCAACAGAAAGCAAACTGGAACTACACCTTACAGACATAAGCCATTACAGTGCGCTGTGAAAAAGTATGGAGAATGTGGAAGAGCCCATTGGGTCTTCAGAGACAGGACAGATTGGTTGGAGCAACTGGTGTCAGGAAAATCCAGACATTCCCCACGAATGAAAGAATGGGTGGTTACTTGATGGATGGGTCAGAGACCCAGCTTATAGATTGCTTGACTGATGCGGTGCCTGGTCCATATAGGAATTTAGAGGAAGGTGGCACTGAGGAGATTTGTGGAGGCTGGCACATGCTGTTAATCCCCGCAGAAGCAGGTCTGTCTCTGGCTTGTAGATCAGACTAGGCTACCTAATGAGTTCCAGGGCTAAGTAGTGAGACACTGTCTCAAAAAAAAACTATGAATATAACATAATCATATTACTTAAAACTATGAAAACTTCATGTTGTAAGAGGTATATACACACATATACATATATATACTTTGTTTTGAGACAGGGTTTCACTGTGTAGCCCTGGCTGCACTGGAACTCACTGTAGACCAGGCTGGCCTCCAACTCACAGAGATCTGCCTGCCTCTGCCTCCCTAGTACTAGGATTAAAGGCGTGTGTCACCACCGCCCAGATTTTTGTAACTTTATTGAAAAGGTTCTCAGGCATGAATTTTGTGCAGAGTCGTGTCATATGTGAAGAGTCAGGCTCCCCCTAGAAAAGGATCCTAACAGAGCCACTCTTGGAACTGCTTCTCCCATGCTGGTACCTGGAGTGAAGGGCTTCCCTAGGGAACAGGAGAGAAACAGATCACTGAGCTTCAGTTCAGAGTCCTCACCCTTCAAAGTAGACTCTGTGGTATTGCTGTGTTTTAAGATAATTCTTCAGAGCATGAAATGCTTTAAGTTATCCTTCCCGTGATGTGACCTCGGGGATTCACATTGTTCTGAAGTGTGCTGCTCTATTCCTCCAGAGAAGAAGAACTTGGAGAAGACACCCACATTTACTGGAAAACTGACAACAACGCTATTTATCAGACTGATGGGGGTAGATCCTTCAATTTTGGTAAGTTTATGATGGCATCGAAAGTTAGCTCAGAGCCAGGCATTGGTGGCCTCTACTCCTCTGAAGACAGGGGGATCAGGGGCTTAAGGCCAACCTGAACAGCAAAAAGTACTCTGAGCCATTTTCCCAGACCCTAGGTTGTCATCTCATATTAAAACTAGGAAGACATCATTTGGAGCAGAGAAGTATAGGAAATAAAACGATTCCTAGTAAACAACTGTCCTTCCTGAGCCCAGTGTCCACTTCTTCCCTTCGGGCATCCAGGCACCAGCGCCCTCAGGCGCTGGACTCAGGAATGTAGCTTGGCAGGTGGGTCTGCAGGATCTTGATTGAGCATTGAGGGTAGGGAGCCTCTTGCAGGCCTGTTTCTCCAGTCGCACAGTCCTCCTTCCCCTACAACCATCTCATAATATTGGTATAATTTTTTTTTAAGGCAAAACTGTTTGAAAGATTACAAAACTAAGATTAAAGGCTCCCCAGGCATTTGGACTCTATAGGTTTTTCTTGGAGGATGTTCTTGTGCATTTCTGTGCCCAGAGATCTGGTTGCCGTCTGACGTTGGCCTTGGTGTTTTGGTGAAGAGTCTCCTGTCTCAGGTTATGTAGAAATTATTCTCCATCTCTGATTGGTTAATAAAGGCTGAACAGGCAATAGTGCGGCAGGAGAGTTATGATATGCCCTGCTTAGTTTTGTTTGTTGTTGTGGTTTTCAGATTTGATGGCAAAATGAAGCACAATTTGATATGGTTTTCTTGCTTTCTTTTTCTTCTTTTTTTGGTCCTTTATCTCATTACTTTGTTTATTCAGTTTGCATCCTGACAACAGCCCCCTTCTCTCCTCTCCTCCCAGCCTCATCTTCATGCCACCCTCTTCCTATTCCTTCCTTATTCCTTCCTTCCCTTCTCAGAGAAGGGAGACCCACATGTTGACCAAGCTGCACATCCTCTACATATGTGTAGGGGCCCTAGGTCCAGCCCATGCATGCCCTTTGGTTGATGGTTCAGTCTCTGTGAGCCCCCATGGGCTGAGGTTAGTTTAGCCCCCATGGGCTGTAGGTTTTCTTATGATGTCCTTGACCCCTCGGGCTCCCTCAACCCTTCCTCCCACTCTTCCACAAGACTCCCTGAGCACCGCCGATCGTTTGGCTGTGGGTCTCTGCATCTGTTTCCAGCAGCTGCTGGAGGAAGCCTCTCAGAAGACAGTTATGCTAGGCTGCTGTCTGCAGGCATAGCAGAGTATGATTAATAGTGTCAAGAGTTGGCTCTCTCCTGTGGGGTGGGTCTCAAGTTTGACCAGTCATTGGTTGGCCATTCCCTCAATCTCTGCTCTATCTTTATCCTTGCATGTGTTATAGGCAGGACAAATATTGGGTGGAAGATTTTGTGCTTGGGTTGGTGTCTCTCCTCCCTTCACGGGGAGCCCTGCCTGGCTACAGGAGGTGGCCACTGTAGGCTGCGTATCTCCCTGTGCTAGGAGTCTCAGCTAAGGGACATCTCCAAGACTCCCGGGAGCTTCCCCTGTCCCAGAGATGCCCCCACCCCACCGATTTCCATTCTCTGAGACACCCCCCATCTGATCCCACCCCCATTCTCCTCCCCACCCTCTCGCACCCAATTCCTGACCTCCATCCACTTCTGGTATCTCATTTTATTTCCCCTTCTGAGTGAGATTCAAGCTTCCTTCCTTGGGCCCTCCGTGTTTCTTAGCTCTTTGGGTCTGTGGATTGCAGCATCATTATCCTGTACCGTACAGCTAATATCCACTTCTGAGTGACTACATATCATGCCTATCTTTCTGGGTATGGGTTACCTCACTCAGCATGATCTTTTCTAGTTCCATTCATTTGCCTAAAAATTTCATGATGTCCTTGTTTTTAATAGCTGAGTAGTATTCCACTGTGTAAATGTACAACATTATCTTTATCCATTCTTCAGTTGGGTAACATCTACATTGTTTCTAGTTTCTGGCTATTACAAATAAAGCTGCTGTGAACATAACTGAGCAAGTGTCCTGTGGTATGGCATATCTTTTGGGTATATTCCCAGGAGTGGAATAGTTGAGACTTGAGGTAGGACTATTTCCAATTTTCTGAGAAAACACCAACCTGATTTCCACAGAGGTTATACAAGTTTGCACTCCCACCTGCAATGGAGAAGTGTTCTCCTTGCTCCACATCCTTGCCAGCATGCACTGTCACTTGAGTTTTTGATCTTAATCATGCTGATGAATGTAAGATGGAATCTCAGAGTCGTTTTGACTTGTGTTTCCCTGATGACAAAGGATGTTGAACATTTCTTTAAGTGCTTCTCGGCCATTACAGATTCCTCTGTTGAGAATTCTCTGTTTAGCTCTGTTTGCCCCATTTTTTAATTGGATTGTTTAGTTTGTTGGTGTTTAATTTCTTGAGTTCTTTATATATTTTGGGTATTAGCCTTCTGTCAGATATGTTGGAGTTGGTGAAAAATCTTTTTCCATTCTGTAGACTGCCATTTTATCTTATTATGGGGTCCTTTACCTTACAGAAGCTTTTCAGTTTCATGAGGTCCCATTTATTAATTGTTGATCCTAGTGCCTGAGCTTGTTGGTGTTCTGTTCAGGCAGTTGTCTCCTGTACCAATGCGTTCAAGGCTCTTCCCCACTTTCTCTTCTATTAGTATTAGTGTGTCTGGTTTTATGTTGAGGTCTTTGATCCACTTGGACTTGTTTTGTTCAGGGTGTTAAATATAGATCTATTTGCATTCTTCTACATGAAGACATCTGGTTAGACCAGCACCATTTGTTGAAGATGCTTTCTTTTTCCATTGTATGGTTTTGGCTTCTTTGTCAAAAATCAAATGTCCAAAGTTGCATGGGCTTATTTCTAGGTCTTTGATTCAATTCTATTGATCAACCTGTCAGTTTTTATGCCCATACCATGCAGTTTTTATTACCATTGCTCTGTTGTGTGTTTGTTTTTGCTTTTTTTTAGTTAATTATGTATCCAGCCACTTTGCTGAAGGTGTTTATCAGCTGTAGGAGTTCCCTGGTAGAGTTTTGGAGGTCACTTACATATACGTAATCACAGTCTTATCATCTGTGACTAGCGATACTTTAACTTCTTCCTTTCCAATTTGTATCCCTTTGATCTTTTTAGTTTTTTTTAATGCTCTAGCTAGAACGTCAAGTACTATATTGAATCTATATATATGGAGAGAGTGGGCAGCCTTGTCTTGTCCCTGATTTTAGTGAAATTGCTTTCATTTTCTCTCCATTTAATTTGATGTTGGCTATTGGCTTATTGTATATTGCCTTTATTGTATTTAGTTATATGCCTTGTATCTCTGATCTCTCCAAGACTTTTAACATAAAGGAGAGTTGTATTTTGTTAAAAGCTTTGTCAGCATCTAATGAGATGATTGTGTGGGGTTTGTTTGTTAGTTTTGTTGTTGTTTTTCAGCTTGTCTATATGGTGGATCACATTGATGGATTTTCATATGTTGAACCACCCCTGCATCCCTGGAATAAAGTCTATTTGATTGTGGTAGATGATGGTTTTGATGTGTTCTTGAATTTAGTTTACGAGTATTTTATTATTTTTACATCAACATTCATAAGGGAAATTAGCCTGAAATTCTCTTTCTTTGTTGAATCTTTATATGGTTTAGGCTTCAGAGTGACTGTGGCCTCATAGAATGAGTCTGGCAATGTTTTTTATGTCTATTTTATGGAATAATTTGAGGAGAATTGGTATTGGCTCTTCTTTGAAAGAAGAGCCAATTTTGTGGCTCAAACCATCTGGCCCTGGGCGGTTTTGGATTGGGAGACTTTTAATGACTGCTTCTATTTCCTTAGGAGTTATAGGTCTATTTAAATTGTTTATCTGATCTTGATTTAAAGCTTATAAGTGGTATCTATCAATAACAGCATCCTTTTTGTTTAGATTTTTCAATGTTGTGGAGTCCAAGCTTTTAAAGTAAGACCCAATGATTCTTTTGATTTCCTTGGTGTCTGTTGTTATGTCCCCCTTTTCATTTCTGATTTTGCTGACTTAGATAGTGTCTCTCTGCCTTTTAATTCATTTGGCTAAGAGTTTGACTTGTTGATTTTCTCAAAGAATCAGGTCTTGGTTTTGTTGGTTCTTTGTATTGTTCTCTTTATTTTTTATTTATTGATTTCATCCCTGAGTTTGATTATTTCTTATATTCTTCTCCTTGGGTGTATTTGTTTCTTTCTTTCTTTTTTTTTTTTTTTTCCTAAAGCTTTCATCTGAGCTGTTAAGTTGTTGCTGGCATGGGATCTTTCCAATTTCTTATGAAAGCACTTAGTGCTATGAACTTTCGTCTTAGCACTGCTTTCATAGTGTCCCATAAGTTTGGGTATGTTTTGCATCCATTTTCACTGAATTCTAGAAAGTCTTTAATTTCTGAAAGTGTCCTTCCCTATCTCTTTTACTTAATTTTGGTTTAAAGTCCATTTTACTGGATATTAGAATGGCTAGACCAGCTGTCTTCTTTGGTCTGTTGGCATGGAAAATCTTTTTCCAGCACTTTTTACTCTGAGGCAATGTCTATCATTGTTGTTGAGGTGTGTTTTTAGTATGCAGCAGAATGATGGATCCTGTTTTCACATTCTCTTAGCCTGTGTCTTATTGGGGAGTTGAGTCCACTGATGTTGAGAGATATTAATGACCAATGGTTGTTTATTCTTGTTATTTTGATGGTGGTGGTGGTGGTAGACTGTGTGTGTGTGTGTGTGTGTGTGTGTGTGTCTGTGTGTGTGTGTGTGTCTGTGCGTGCGCGCTCCATACACACACTCATGTGCACTTCCCTTTTGGTTTTGCTGATGTGGGGTTATTTATTTCCTATGCTTTCCTGAGTGTACTTAGCCTCCTTGGGTTGGTGTTTTCCTTCTAGTATCTTCTATAGGGCTGAATTTGTGGATGGATTGTGTTTAAATTTGGGTTTTTGTCATGGAATATCTTGCCTTCTCCACCTATGAAGATTAAAATTTTTGTTCGGTGTAGTAGGCTGGGCAGACATCTGTGGTCTCTTAGTGTCTGTAATATATCTGCCTATGGCCTTCTGGCTTTTAGAGTCTCTGTTGAGAAGTTAGGTGTAATTCTTATAGGTCTGCCTTTATATGTAACTTTGCCTTTTCCTCTTGTGACTTTTAATATTCTTTATTTGTTTTGTACAATTAGTGTTTTGATTATTATGTGGCAGGAGGATTTTCCTTTCTGGTCCAATCTATTTGGTGTTCTTAAGCTTCTATGTTTAGTTAGGCATCTCCTTTTTTAGGTTGGGGAATTTTTCTTCTATGATTTTGTTTAAAATATTTTCTGGGCCTTGTCGCTAGGAGTCTTCTTCTTTGGTTTGGTCTTTTTATTGTGTACCAGATTTCCTGGATGTTTTGTGTCAAGAACTTTTTTGATTTAACATTTTTTTGACCAGTGTATCAATTTCTTTAATCATTATCTTCTATACTTGAGATTCTCTTCCATCTTTTGTATTCTGTTAGTGATACTTGCCTCTGCAGTTTCTGTTCTCTTTCCTAGGTTTTCCATCTCCAAGATTCCCTTAGTTTGCGTTTTCTTTATTGTTTCTATTTCCATTTCCAGGTCTTGAACAGTTTTAATCATTTCCTTACCTGTTTGATTGTATTTTCCTGTGTTTCTTTAAGGGGTTTATTCATTTCCTCTTTAAAGGCCTCTATTGTCTTTATAAGATTGGGGTTTAAGGTCATCTTCTTGTGCTTTGGCTGTGTTAAGATATCTAGGACTTAGTATAGTAGAATAACTGCTGGTGGTGCCCTATTACCCTGGCTTTTGTTCATTGTGTTTTTATGCTGGCCTGTAGCCATCTGGTTGTTCCTGGTGTTAGCTGGATGATCAGGGAGGCAGGCAGAGGCTTGGGTCTGACAATGAAGCTCAGGAAACAGCCTGCTGCTCATCTCTACTGGCTGTGCCTCAGATAGTCCTGAAGGTTCCTTGGGTCCTACAAGCCTACTCAGAGAGGGAGGCAGAGCCATAGTCCTGACGATCCCAGCTTAGTGTTTTAAAGCTTATTAATAAATGTAATAGGTCTCTGTGTCATCATTTGGAAGCTATAATGATGCAGAAAAAAAAAAAAAAAACCCAGACGAATATTTCTACTTTTTTTTTTTTTTTTTTTTTTTTTTTTTTTTTTTTTTTTTTTTTTTGGTGTTCCTATATGCATATAGAAGATTTGAACTCATCTACTGCCTGGGGTTGATGGTTTTAAAATACAAAAGTCTACCAACTCTACTTAATCTGAAATTCTGACTGCACAGCTTCTATATGGTATTTGGTTTTTCCATCTTACCTATAGAATAACTGTATGGTTATGATATAAGCTGAATGAACAATTGAGTTTCTTTGCCGACATATTTTTCTATTTTAAAAACCTGCCCCCATCGACTTTTTCACCATGGAAAGTGTCACGTTTTTTTCAGTTTACTAAAAAGCAAAATAATCAGATTCTAGAATGGCAAATTTATTGGTGCAAATACCTAAATTTAGTGGGCAGGTAATTGTTTCCTGTAGCATTTTTTTGGTTAGTTTTCCTGATTCAGCTTGAGCTAGGCTATTAAAAGGCAAGATATGTTAAAAAACAAAATTTTTCAAAAATTAATAACCTCTCACATTTCTTAAGTACTAATATGCTCACAATAATTCTATAAAGATGATAGTGTACCTGTCTTACACATTAGAGGCAGGGACCCAACATTTAGAGGGTCTGTCTTCGTTAGGCTTTTATTGCTGTGAAACGACACCATGAAAAAGGCAACTCTTAAAGTAGAAACCATTTAATTGTGGCTGGCATACAGTTTCAGAGGCTTAGTCCATTATCATCATGTCATCAGCATGGCAGCCAGCAGGCAGACATGGTGCTGGAGGCCCCTGGAGTTCTGCATCCTGATTGGAAGGCAGCAATTCCACATTGGGCGGGGCTTAAGCACAGGATGCCCTCCAATAAGGCCACACCTCCTAAGAGGGCCATTCCTGTGGACTGCATTCAGACACATGAGTCTATGGGGACCATACCTATTCAAACCACCACAGAGTATAATCAGAATTGGTGCTAACAAACTCTAGACCCCACCTGCAGCCTTTGAAAATACATAGGGCTGTTGACGGGTGTGGTTTTTCTATGTGAAGACCATTGCATTTTCCCTTTGAGAAGAGTGTTTTCCAAAAAGACAAAAACTAAAGAAATATCGTCCTACAAGTTCACCATTCTAGATCCTGACAGTTTATGTCTTTGTGTAATTATTAATTCTTTGAAAATGAAGTTAATAAGTTTGATTGCATTCCTGTGTTCTTTTTAGATCGTGTCTTTCATAGTAATGAAACCACTGTAAACGTGTATGAAGAAATCGCAGTACCAATCATCAATTCTGCCATACAAGGCTACAATGGTTTGTATTCACTTCGTGTTTCAGAAGCATCTTAGGCCTTCAACATCCATTCCATAAGTATTAATAGTTTTACTTACTATGGGTTTTCTTTTTAATTTTTACAATTGTATTCCTTATTTATCTATTTATTTTGCTTGTTTTTACAGGTACTATATTTGCCTATGGGCAAACTGCATCAGGGAAAACACATACTATGATGGGTTCTGAAGACTGTTTGGGAGTTATACCCAGGGCCATTCATGACATTTTCCAAAGGATTAAGAAGGTAATAACAGTCTTCCCAGCACACGGAGGTGAAGTAGTGTCAGCTGAGTAGCAATTGGTGTTTTCCTCTCATAACAAAAGGGAAAAGGAGCTTCACACTCATCTCCTGATTTTCATGGGAAAAGGAAAAAGGCATAGCACTAGTTCACACACTTTAAAGGACCTGAAGTTTTATGATCTTTTTTCCCCATTGAGCCCTGACACAGTATAATTTCCAACAAAAAGTATACTAAGCAGTAGGAGATCCTATCAGAAGGATTAGTTCCACATTAGCCTTGTTTAGTCAGTAGTGACTCTTAAGGAACAATATTTTGTCTAGACAATTAGATTAGGTGCTTTGTTTTTCACTGGAACAGTTTTCATTGTTTCTGAAATAATTGCTTTTGTAGTTATTATCAATATGCACCTATGGGTTCTGTTGGCTTTACAGATAACGTTTTCTTGGTCTCTTTACTCTCAGTGTGTGTCTTGCGGTGTTGGTTTATAAATGGGTGCTTTCTCATGTTTCACACATGCTGTTTTCTCCTAGTTTCCTGAGAGAGAATTTCTCCTACGGGTGTCTTACATGGAGATCTACAATGAAACCATTACAGACTTACTTTGTAATGCCCAAAAAATGAAACCTTTGATAATTCGGGAAGACATCAATGTGAGTGAAAGAACTGGGTGACTTCACTGGGTCAGCACAAGAATGGGCCTATCAGCGGTCACTCAGGGCAGGAGGTGGCATGGCGTGGGGGCCATACACACTGCTGGAGTGTGCTACAGGGAAGGGGTCCTGGCCTTCTCCTTGTGGATCCAGTAGCCACACAGATGTCCCTAATTAACCAAATGAGTCACCAAACTAAAAATCACTTTGGGGACAGCCCTGGGACCAATGATAGAGGTTGATAGTGATGTAAGGGAGATAAGACAGTCAGAGTGGTGGGGGGTGAGAGTAATCCAGTTATATATATGAAATGACCATATAAAAATCGTATGGATTTATTAAAAACTTAATGAATTAAGGTGACTAAGGGCATTAAGTGTAGTTAATACAGGAAGTATAAGCTTGAAAATAGATTCTGTTCCAAATGACTGTTCTAAGCGTGTGAAAGTACACTGAGTTGTACAGATTTGGGGTCTGGTTAATTTTGGTGTGTAATGTTTTAAGAAAGTTTATAACGTAAAACAAATTTTTGTGTGTATAATATACACAGTAAATCGTGAATAAGTTGTTTTTTTTTTCTATAGAATAATGGTTCCATTTTTCCACTTTCCCAAACTCTCCAATACATTGTAACTTTGAATGCAAACTTTCTTTCTCTAATCTTTTTATAATTAAACTGTTTTCAGAGGAATGTTTATGTTGCTGATCTCACAGAAGAAGTGGTTTATACAGCAGAAATGGCTTTGAAATGGATCACAACGGGAGAAAGTAAGACTGCTGTATTTTTAAATGCATATTTGAACTATCAAGTCACATATTTTATTGAACTAAAACAAGATAGGCTTCAAGTTTGACCTGTTTACATTGAGCTAAAGTAAAATCTGATGTTTTTGTTTGGCTTTAAATTAATATATGTAATTGATGTAACTCATTTTTATAGAGAACAGACATTATGGAATAACCAAAATGAACCAAAGAAGCAGTCGTTCCCATACAATTTTTAGGATGGTGCGTAAGTGTTTCTCCCTATATTTGGTCTTTCCAAAGAAGAATTTACTCATTTTTGACGAGCTGCATTTTCTGTCCAGATTTTGGAAAGCAGGGAGAAAGGTGAATCTTCCAATTGTGATGGGTCTATCAAGGTGTCTCATCTGGTAAGTATTTATAAACCATAGCTTTCAATGTGGGCCCAGAAAGACAGCTCAGCTATCAGATGATGACTTTAATAAGGCCTGTGTACTAAGCAGGGCAAAAGGGCCAGTGGTTGGCAGGCTAAGGCCATGGGAGTAGCCTTGGGTTGCTAGCGGAGGGGCTGCTGTAAGGGTCAGAGCGCCTTTGCTCCTGTTTGTGATGACTACAGAGCTGCAGGGCTGAGTCTCCTCCCAGCCACCAACAAAGCCAGAGCCTTGTTTCTCTTACCAGAGGAGAGCTGATCTTGGAATTTGGTTATTGTTTCTTAAATCCCGGCCAATGTAATTTAGAATTGTTTGATAAAATAAAAATAGGTAAAATGGTTAAAACATAAATGTTTTATTGTTTGTTTGTAACTGAGAAAGCATGTTTATAAATGGTGGGAATTTTGTGTTGTATTTATTTGTCTAGCCTTAGGGCCTTGTGCATGGTAGGCAGTATTCTACCACTGAAATCCTCCCCCACTCCAGCTTCTGGCCCATAAGCAGTATTTTAGACTACAAATCTCTTAAACAGAGAGGGGTATCTCCTTCATCTTTTAGAACCAACACTTTGCACAGTCTGTGCTTATTCCACATTCACTGAATATGACATTATGCAAACAGTGCTTTTTGCCACATCAGTAAACTCCCATTTATCTTCTTTTTTATTATCAGGGTATCAACTGTGTAGCCCAGGAAGGCTTTAAAATCATAAAATTCTTCTGCTCATCCTCTCAAATGTTGAGATTATAGACATGCACTAACAAACTCTGAGAAAGCAGATGACAAAACATCTGGTCCTAACCTCACCTTATTTTGCTGAAAACATGTATGATTTGTTTTAATAGATTTTTAATATTTTTAACCTCTTGATTTTGCTTGTTCCTTGCCGATTTGTCATGTGTGTGGTTTAGGGTACCAGCTGGGCCAGGCTGTGAGCCTGTCTTCCTCTGGGAGAGAAGTGTTTCTTCTTGGAGTCATCCCTTTGATCTTTGGTGGCTGTTTTCTGATTGTCTTCTGGCGTTGGGGAATGTAACTCCAGCATCGCTCAGCTCTGCCTGTCAGTATTGTCTTTTCCTTGCTGTCTGTCGAAATTGAGAGGGTTCTGTGGCTTTTCAAGTTCTTTGTTGATGGACTTGAAAGCTTTATTTCAGTGAAGGTTTCTTGGGTCTAATCTGTCTTCCTTCCTCATTAAGATTTCTGAATTAACGTGGACTGCCTGTATTGGAATTCTCAGTGTATCCAAAGCCTATCCTTTTTTCCAGTTAACTGTTCTTTTTAATTTTTTTTCCCAGAAAAACCAACATTCTACACAAAGACAGGAAATCTAAATCCAGCTCGACTCTGTCTGTCGTTCCCTTTGTCTAGTTGTCCCATTTTTTTACTAATTTTATCTTGGTACATTTCTGTGTATATTACACTCATTTAGATTACTATGTGTGTTAATTCACTGCAGGGGTTCAGCACCTGGCCTCTGTGACTCCAGTCTCCCTTTCTTCAGTGCATCATAGATTTCTAAGAATACTACATACTGTTCTGTTAGGTCCCTTCACTGGACAAGAGCTAGCCACTCTTAACTGATCTCATTTAACTTCCTTCCAAAACCCTACGAGCTCCAATCTCAAAGTGCCTTTGAATACAACATTCATTTCCACTCTAATTATTCCCTCACACTGCCCTTGTTTCAACTTTTCCATGTATTTCATATCTAAATAATCTGTAGTGGGCACTACAAGAGGAAAACTAGGAAGAGTATTGAGTTAGGTCCTAAGAACAGGAGTACATAATTACTTTATAAAGCCTTGAAAATCACCACAGAGAAAAGGAGCTTTTCTTTTAGGGCATTCAGAAAAATAGTCTTTTCCACATTGTGAGCATAGTGCTGGGCTCTGAGACTGAGAAAATAAAGATGACTTTCCTCTGCCACTTTGTCACAAGTCTTTTGTACTTCTGTTGTCCTAGGCCAGACTGTGCCCATCACATCTGCACTCCCATGTCTGCCCTGGGCATCTACTGTAGCTTTTGGCACCTCTTCATTCATTCTGCATGCAGAGCCACACTTGTTCCTTTAGGAAGTTGAGTCACTCTGTATTACTCTCAGGCGTAAAGCTTTGTAGCAGTTTCTCTTGCACTTAGGGAATCCCATGTTCTTTCTCACTCTTGCTCACAAGATGCCCCTGCCTATGACAATCGACAGTCGTTGTCACTTCAGGTCACTGATGGTGTCACAGTGTCCTTTCTTGGGTTTGGCAAATATTTCGTTTGGCTTGTTAGGACAGGCCGGCCTAGAATTCTGCATAGTCTGGGCTAGCCTGAACCTCATTCAGGAAGAAACTGAAAGCACTCTTCCTGCCTTTACTGCCCACAGATGAGTGGCAAGATCCTTTCTGGGTTATTAACGAACTCTCTGAAGGGTCTGCTTTGTGAACCACTATGCTGACCTTTCTATACAGTACTATTTCTGTTAAAATCTGTAGAGCTGACTCCCTCTTCTCTGTCCTTCACATCCAGGCCTAAAGAGCAGGCCTTCCCCTGCCACCTATTCCAGAGAACAGATTGTGTCCCGCCGATTTGCCCCTCTCCAGCTGCCTGTTGAAATCTTCTCTTGTGTTTATGTATCCCCCTCCCCTCCTCTCACAGACCTCCTCTGTAGAATGTAAGGTTTGTAAGAGCAGAGCTTATTCCCGTGGCTCGCTGCTGTTGCTCCAGCACCCGCTGCCCAGAGCGTAACAGATGCACCTTTTCAGTGTCACTTATGAAATGAAAGGGAGGCCAGTGCTTTAAAGATGCTGTCATGCAGTGTATGTGGTACACACATGGCCAACCCAGCAAATTAAGTACTGTGAGAATAAGGCTTACCTCTGAAGAACTTGGACATACAGTTAAGGGTGCATTCATCTAGGTGTGCAAGAAGATGGGTAAAGATGACAAAGCTCCATTGAGAAGACCATGTTTGCCTTGGTTCTTGAATACAGAGTAAGGATGGGCTAAAACATTAGGGGTAAAAAGAAAGAGCAGCAAAAACCACAACAGAGGCCTGGTTGCAAAAATCACATTCTCCTTGGTAGTTTGGACTCTGTGTGGGACACACCTCGGTAACCTCGAAGTCTGTATAAAGAAAGAAGGAACAAGGCGAGGAGGCCATTGTGACTAAGTGGGGAAAAAAGAGGCCTAAAGAGAGGGCTGAAGACAAGGATTCAGAGAGGACATTTTAACACCCCATGTTCTTAAAATAGTCCTTAACTGAGTTAAAGGTTAGTATTTGTGGTCACACCTCCTAAACACATTTTCCTCTGTCCTACAGAACTTGGTTGATCTTGCTGGCAGTGAAAGAGCTGCTCAGACAGGAGCAGAAGGTAATAAGAACTTGTTCATGTCTGGCCATTATGTTAAAAGTACTGATGATGTAATGATTTCCACATGAAAGTCTTTATTATAAAATTCAAATGTGATTGCTTTGACCTGCTACAGCACCAACTTACAGATTCAATTTTGCAGTTGATAGGGCTGTGTAGCTGGGAAGGCCAGCGATGGACTGTGAAAACATCCAAGCTTTCAATTAGTTAGAAAATTGAGAAAGGCAGTGAGGGGCAGCCTTCGAAGCCTGTCGTGCTGACTCTGCACTTTACTACTTGCCTTGACCCCAGATTTCAGAAAGCTCTCCCTCCATTCAAGATCGCAGTGACTCTTTGGACAGAGTGCAGGGGATCTTATGAAAGTGGGAGACAGTAAGACCTGCGGAGGACAGGAGCTCCACAAGGACAGCGACAGAACCAAAACATCTGGGCACAGGGGTCTTTTCTGAGACTAATCCTCCAACCGAGGACCATTCATGGAGATAACCTAGAAACCCTGCACAGATGTAGTTCATGGCAGTTCAGTGTCCAAGTGGGTTCCATAGTAATGAGAAGAGGGACTGTCTCTGACAGGAACTGATTGTCCTGCTCTTTGATCCCCTGAGTGGGAAATAGCCTTACTAGGCTACAGAGGAAGACAATGCAGCCACTTCTGATGAGACCTGATAGACTAGGAACAGAAGAAAGGGGAGGAAGACCTCCCTTATCAGTGGACTGGGGGAGGGGCACAGGTGGGGAAGCCAGAGGGAGGGGGGTGGGATTGGGAGGGGAAGAGGGAGGGAGCTACAGGGGGGGATACAAAGTGAATAAACTAATTAATAAAAATAAATAAAAAGATCATAGTGACCCTAGCCTAGGGTCAGATGGAAGGGGAGGAGGACCTCCCCTATCAGTGGACTAAGGGGAGGGGCATGGGAGGAGAAGAGGGAGGGAGAGTGGAATTGGAAGAGGACTGGGAAGGAGGCTACTGCTGGGATACTAAGTGAATAAATTGTAATAAAAAATAATTAAATAAAGAAAGATCATAGTGACCATGACTAGTGTGGGAAAGAAAAAGAACAATGATCAAAATCATTTCAAAATGTGGTATCTAGGAAGATACTCAAAGGTTGTAAAGACTTAAAATAATGAAAAAGCACACTTAAATGTGAAGATTGAAAATTATAAAGATGTTAAGTATATGTATATTCTAGATTTAAAACATTGCTAATAAAATCAAGAGTACATTTTGTGTTTAAACTAGATACAGTGTTTTGAAATGGGTGTGGGAATATTGAAAACTGGCAAGACTGAGAAAAAACTGAGGACAGTGAGTAAAAATTCAGCTCCACAGGCTAGTAAAACATAGAGCTACAATTATTAAACTTGTGTAATACTGAGTGGATTGTCAGCCCACTAGAATAGAATGGGAAATCCAGGAGCTAGAGTCCCATACCTGTAATCGCCAGCACTCAGGAGGCTAAGCTAGGAGGACTACAAGTTTGAGGCTAGCCTGGGATCCACAGGGAGATACTGGCTCAAGGAAAAGAAGAAAAATAAGTGTTTGAAATTCAGACTACGGTGAGAGAGACTATGACTGTCTACTACACAGAGTCTAGAAACTGAAGAGGAAGGCTAATGAGCAGTAGAGCCTGATGGAAAGGAATGATGGGGTGTTTACAATGCAAAGCTTACTCAAGCTGCCACTCCTAACATGCACCTCACAAGGAAGGGTTGTACCCCACAGCCTGACTGAAGAAGCCACCCAGCAGACTGCTCAGTATGCACCATGCTAGCCTAGCCTCAGATGTGAGAACAAGAAATGCTGCTGCTTTTAAGCTGATGGCTGAGCAGCAATATCTGCTGGTAGCTAATGCAGCAGGAATAACATTGGTTCAGATTTATTTGTCACAGTATTTGTGCAGTTCATTGGAAACCTGCGTCTTTCAGTGAAGCAATTAACCTGGGGGAAAGGCACAATGGAATTATATGATATAAAATGAAGAAGGCCAGTCTTTGCCAGCATGATTTTGCCAGATAGTTTCTGCAGTTGTACGTTTGGAATTCTGGGCTAGATTGGGAACTAGGTAGGGAAGTTTTTTCTGAAACACATTTTGAAGAGAAAATGAAACGTACAGAGTACCATGGATAGACTATAGAAGGAAAAGAAGGTGTGTGTGTGTTATGTCTCAAAGAGAAAACAAAGGGATGATTTTAAGTGTTCTAGTGAGGAACAGGAGCTGTGAACTGGGGTAGGTGGGCATGTGCCTTTTCAAGGTTTGCATTTTCCTTTTAACTTTTGAGTCATGTGAGCATATTAACAATTTAAAAAGAAAAATTATTGATGTTTTGTTTTAAGTCCATGATTTAAAGGCTTATAAAAAGTGGATTTGAACTGAGAAGTTAGAGGACCTTGGGAAACAGGCAGTTTTCCCCCTCTTAGTCACTTTTTTGATGTTTTCTTTCAGGTGATGGATGACATTTTTGCTTGATTTAATATGTAGGCATGCAGAGAAAGAATTCCTTAGTGTTAAAAGTGAGCTCAGGTGAAGCCCACAGCATAGATTTAACACCAGGCCCTGTCATGTCTGAGTTACAACTTACAGGCAAGCTCTTCATCTAGTACAGAGGTTAATTTTTACATTTAATTCAGGTGTGCGTCTCAAGGAAGGCTGTAATATAAACCGGAGCTTATTTATTTTGGGACAAGTGATTAAGAGACTTAGTGATGAACAGGTTGGGTAAGTTTTATATACTTACTGTTTTTTTTTTTTATTTTTATTTTTATTTTTTTACTTACTGTTTTTTATTAGATGGAAAATTGTAATACTTTAGTCAAAATTAAATATATTGATTTCTTCTATACTTTTTGAGTTTCTGTAAGCTTTTTTATAAGCACGTGTGCTTCTTTGAGATGTGATACTGTACATATTTACAAATACAGTGTGACATTTCAGTACACGTGTGATGTGCAAAGTAATTTATGTTTTAGCACTTAAGAGTCTGTATTTCGGGGCTGGAGAGATGGCTCAGTGATTAAGAGCACTGACTGCTTTTCCAGAGGTCCTGAATTCAATTCCTAGCAACCACATGGTGGCTCACAACCATCTATAATGAGATGTGGCACCTTCTTCTGCTATGCATGAAAACAGAGCATTCATACACATACAATAAATAAATAAATCTTTTTTTTTAAGAGTCTATATTGCTTTCTCTTGTACAGAATAACATGTTTATATGCTTCTAATAATATGTGAGTGTAGTGAGAATTTTGGAATTTTGGTGTGTCTCTATCCTGACCTGAGCTGTTTGCTTAGAGAGTCCTTTTCACACATTTTGTTTTATTTTCAATTTTGCCATACAATTGGGAGTTAGAAGATAGCTTTTGGGAATCACTTCTCTCATGTCACATTGTATATCCCAGGGTTCCGACCTAAGCCTTCAGACCTTTGCCCCAGTTCCTCTAACCACTTAGCCGCCATCTCACTATCCTAGCGAGCCCTTTTTAATTTTTTTGTTTTTTTTTAGAATATATTACACATAATGTGCTTCATTGTGACATTTTAATACACCTGCATGATTTATGAGCATAGCCTCTTATACATATAAATCTAACCTGAGTGTATTTCCTACCTTAAATACTTTTAATTAGCAGTTTAATCTGCCTTATACAACCTGTTAAATCTTATAAAACCTGTAAAAATGTATGACTAAGTGTTCATTTTTTTTCAAGGAAAACATTTCTATATATATTCTCAACCTTTTTCTTCCCATGCTTGTTTCTTGCTAAGTGGTTTCATAAATTACCGAGATAGCAAATTAACACGAATTCTTCAGAATTCCTTGGGAGGAAACGCGAAGACACGTATCATCTGCACAATTACCCCAGCGTCACTTGATGAGACTCTGACCACGCTGCAGGTGAGCTTAGCTTTCGTCTCGCCACGCTGCAGGGAATGACCAACCTCAGGAAGCAAACTGTCTACCAAAATGACAAGTCTTTGACATAATTCCTGTTATAAAATTGACGTACAGTCTAGTAAACAGCATTCTTTATTTAATTTTCCAAGGCTTCGGTAATATGTATCCCATCTCTATAGTTTTGGGCACACCCCGTAGCTGAAATGATTTGATATTTTCTTTAAGTAACTCATTTTTTTTTCTATTGATACATGGTAATAAGAAACTTTATATTACATTCATAACAAAAAAACTATATGGTTGCTTGCCACAAATAGGAATGCAAAAATATATAATGTTTGTGTATCCAAACATTCGGTAAATTTCTGCTAACAGTTGGCTGCATACGAGCTGCAGGCCTGCATTTTCTATTTAAAAAGAAAATAAAGGAACTGGAGAACAGGCTTTCTTGGTGAGGGATTCGGTGTCATTAGCGGCCACGCACCACTGCATTTGCTGCTGTACAGGTGCGGATCCAGCGCTGGTGGAATGCCTGCATAGCATGCGCAGACTTGACTTTTCTCCCTTGTGGGAAAAATGCTTTAGTGCTTTAAAGCTGGGCATGGTGGCACATGCCCCAAATCCCAGTATTTAGGGAGGTGAAGCAGATGGACCAACCTCGGTAACGTAAAACACTCTTTCTAAAATAGTAAACAAATTAAGCCAGGTGTAATAACGTATGTCTCTAATTCTAGCTCTTGGAAAGTAGAAACAAGATAATTCCTCTGAGTTTGAGGCTGGCTTAGTCTACTTATCAAGTCTTGGGCCAGTATAAGGTGACATATTACAAGCTCCTGTCTAGAAAGGAAAAAAATTATAGCTGTTGAATACTGGGTCAAGGTACTGACTGCCTCACAGAATTTACAAAGTAGATGATGCTGGCTTCCAACATGATTACCTTGTATTAATAAAGTAACTAATAAGAATAACATCCCGGGAGCTGGAGAGATGGCTCAATTGACAAAGCATTTCCTTGGCTAGTGTGAGGACCAGAGTTCAGATTCTCAGCACTCAAGCTGGGCAGGCATAGCAGCTCTCCTACAATCCCTGCACTCGGGAGGCAAAGACAAGGGATCCCAGGACAAGCAGGCTGGCTGGACTAGCCAAATCAGCAAGCGCCAGGTTCAGTAAGAAGCTCTGCCTCAGTTAAGAAGGTGGAACTATCTAGGAAGATATCAAACAACACTTGTCCTCCATGCACACATGTATACCTACACACGTGAACACACCATATACACATTGCAGCCCCTTTCCCCCACCCTGCCACCGCCAAAAAAAAAAAATACAGAATAAAGATAAAAGACAGGGCTAATACTTTCAGCCAGAAGTGCTTCCCCCGCCACCAAAAGAAATTGATTGCAAGAAACAAGTGTAATTGATTATTGGAATTATTTTAGTGTTGAGCATCCTAACTTTGATACTTTCACCCAGTTTGCCAGCACGGCCAAGTACATGAAGAATACTCCTTATGTTAATGAGGTGTCAAGTGATGAAGCTCTTTTGAGAAGATACAGAAAAGAAATCGTCGATCTTAAGAAACAATTAGAGGAGGTACGTATGATTTTTATTTTGGTAAAGGACTAAGATCCAGTATAGAGCAATGGAGAGCTGCCTTAGAGATGGTAGATTTATGAATATCTAAATTGCTACAACTTAATTTTTTTTTATTTTAAAAGAAGCAGATTTTAACTTAAAATAATTCAGTTTATAAAAGTTTAACTTTAGGAATTAAGATGGAATTCAAAAGGCGAGTACTTTGCCTGCATCCTTCTGCAGCAACAACGAAAGAAATTTACTATAAGCTGAAGTATCTGTTTCTGTCTGCTGGGGGTGTTGTTAGGTTGGTAGGAAGACTGCCTGGTGTACACAGAGCCCTGCGTTCAGTCTTCAGCACCTCAGAGAGCCTAGTGGTGGATGCCTATAATATTAGCACCTTGGAGCTGGAGGGGGAAATCAAGGAGTTCAGGCTTACCCTTTGCTATGTAGCCATTTCTAGACCAGCCTCGGCTATATCTGTTCCAAAAACAGAAGGAAGGGGTTCTTAAAAAAAAATTGGAGTTTCTTAGAATTATTGAGCTATGTTGAGGGACCAACATAGCTATTTATGTGTCTATTTATGTGGCCTCTACAGTGACCTAAAGCTACCTTGTGTATTTTCATATTCTCCTGAATGCCTCCTCTACCCTGAGGGCAGTAGCTAACCCTCTAAGCATAGTAATCAACCTGTCCCTCTACTTCATTCTTTTTAATTATTATGCTTCCATATCTTGTGCAATCTTTCATTTTATTAAGTTTTATAAATGAGCTAAAAATGTCAAATGAAATGAGAACATCTCAAATTTCAGCTTCTATGACTTTTCTTCCTGTTCATATCTTCACATGAGATACAACATCATAATGGGAAGAAATGTATATACTTTAGCTCTTAAGTTTGAGAAACTAATGACTTTGATAACTGCGTGTTGACAATATCTTCAATAAAATCAAAGTTCTCAGATGACATACACATCTAATTTTCTATTGTTGAAGCTACTTTCAAGGACTTAATTTTGCTACATTTATGGTTACCGTAACCCAATATTTCTTAGGTAAACACAAAGACCCGGGCACAGGAAATGGAAAAGGATCAACTGGCCCAGCTTCTGGATGAAAAAGACTTGCTTCAGAAAGTGCAGGATGAGAAAATTCAGAACCTGAAGCGGATGCTGGTGACGTCATCTTCTATTGCATTGCAGCAGGAGCTAAAGGTACATCTGCAAGATGGCAGTCTGCATGTGGGGAATAGAAAACAGAATAGGCCTTTCTGCAGGCTTAACATCTCATACTTTTTACACCAGCCTCGGTGGTGCACGCCGTAATCCCAACACTCAGGGAGGCAGACGCAGGCATATCACCGTGAATTCGAAGCAAGCCTGGTCTACAAAGCGAGTCCAGGACAGGCAAGGCTACACAGAGAAGCCCTGTGTAGAAGCCCCTCAGGGTAGTGAAAAAGATTTAATACTTTTTATCCATTGATATGAATCTTTAAGAAACCTAGAGCAGTCTGTATATGTCATGTGTCATCGCCACCTAAGAAGTAAGACATAACGCCACTCCCCTCTCTGCCTGAGGAGATACTAACTTAAAAAGTCTAGGGTACCGGTAAAGACTGTCTGAACTATGATATAAATCAGCACAGGGAGAGATCAAGCCTACCTTCCAGCAGGTGTACTTTTTGTTTTTCCTGGGGTAGGTTTCTGTTTGTCCAGTATACATGAGGGATTATTTTCATCAGGAAGGTAGCCAGACCAACTGAACTGTAATCTCAGTTCCATCAGTTACTAACTGTTAGCCTTCCTGAAGGATAGTTTGATGTCCAGGCTCATGAGTGTGTGTGACAGCCCTCTCTGTAGAAAATTGTAATGTAAGTCGTGTATAAAATCATCAGTAGGCATGTTGTGTAAGTCACTAGTAGATGTATAGCTGTTCAAGAGCTGTTGTTTGGCTAAACGATGAATAGGAAATAGCTCAACAGACGATGCTTCAAGAAGAACCTATGTGACGAAAAGCTTAGAGTTTTGCAAATACGTGATAAACATAGTTTGACCTTAAAATGCAGAGTGGCCAGGGCATATTAAAGTGATTCGAGGAATTTGGAGATGGCATTATCCAACAGAGCCTTGTATGTAATATCAAAAGTGCAGTCCACAAAGGTATAGCTGCTATCTGCATCAGTTAAGTTGGCCTCTGAGAACTACGGCTCTGGAAGAAGGGCAGATTGGACAAATTCGGGAAGTAATTGAGAGATAAACTACACAGGTTGTAGTTGCTTTGGGTTTTTTCCTTGGCAGTAGAGACTGTGAGGCAGTGTCTTACTTACAAGAACGATCGTAAGTTATGTGGTGAGGATGAAAACTGCTTGACAGTGAGTCAGGATAGACTGTCGGATATAACAGGAGGCAGGGCCTGGGTAGGAAGAGACAGATAAGCTTAATTTTAGAATCAGCACTTAAAAGTTCTTAAAGTTCTTTCTTGTTTTGGTTTCTGGAATTTAAGCCGGGGCCTTGTGCAGGGTGAATGTGAGCTCTGCCACTGAGCTCAGTGAAGAGAGACCCAAGATTTTTACTGTGGTGTTTAAAATAAGTAAAAAAAAATAGAAAAAAAAAAAACCAACTAGTTTCCTTGTTTTATTTCGTCTGCATTTAGGTCTATGTAAAGTAATTTTGATTTCTTTTGTTATTTTTTTTAAGGTTAAAAAGAAACGAAGAGTTACTTGGTGCTATGGCAAAATTAACAAAATGAAGGATTCAAACTATGTAAATGAATTTAAAATCCCAACAAATGTAACAACAAGAGCTCGTAAAACTTCTGTGACTCTTTTGGGAGAAAATTCTCTAATGAGATTGGGAGAGAATGATGAATGTGAGTACTTCTGTGAGTGAAACTACATTGAATTATAAATGTCTCCATAAATAGACTGTACCTTCGCTAATATGAGAAATATGGTTAAATAAAGTGTATATATTTCAACTATGACTGCAATGGTGACCATTTGTAAAATTCTGTTAATCCTAAGTCTCTTAAGTATGATGCATTATAAGTCAAGTGTTGTGACTCATGTTTATAATAGCAGCATTTGAGGGACTAAGGCAGGAGGATTGCCACGAGTGCAGAGATAGGCTGGGTAAGAGTAAGTCCCTGTCATAACCAAAACAATGTACTGTCGTTGCCATGTACACGTCGGGAGTTTGGGGTTATTTTTCATCTTGTGTTTAGTTAAGATGGTGTAGCCTTCACATAACACCCAGCTAAGCTTATTCGAATTTTCACACTGTCGTTTGTATCACATATAGAAGACTTTCAAAGTTATGTCTCCAGCATTATAGTCATTTTTAAGGAGATTTTAATCTACTGATGCTGGTCAAACCTCAAATGCACAATTTGTAATTTCTATCACTATTGTTTCAAGATCTTTATGTTGTCACAGATTCCAGCTAGCTGTCTTAATCATACAGTATTATGATTAGTGGTCACATCCATTGTTGACATGCTCTCGGGCATTCATAGTTGAATATAAGTTAGTTTGAGTTTACCTGGTCAGAATTCTTTATTAATCTCATTTTTATTTTTAGCAAAACTTATACTAAATATACTTAATGACATTCATCTTTTCTTTTCTACTTGTAGCACTTTCTTGTGAGACGGACCTGTTCAGCAACACTCTTGAGCCGTTGACTGAGGCAGAGTGGAGCTCAGCAACAAAGCTACTAAGTGAGGTAATGTTAGATATTCATTCCGTAAACCGTCTGTCTTTACGCTTGTTCTGTTGGGTTTTTTGTTTTGTTTTGTTTTCTCTTCTTTTCTTTTTTAGGGTTTTCATTTTACGTGTGTACATGTTTTGCCTCTGTGTACATACATGTACCGTGGCATGTCTGGTGCCTGCAGTCAGCAGAGGACATCAGATCCCTTGGAACCAGAATTACAGATGGTTTTAAGCTATGATGTGGGTGTTGGGAACAGAACCCAGAGCTGCTGGAAAAGTAACAAGTATTCTAACTCTGAGCCTTCAGCCGCTGTGTTCAGTTTCTTGCCAGATTTGTTGTGATACTGCATTGTTAACCCTTCCTGACTTGATATCAGAGACAAGTTACATTATAGGGAAGACTGTTCTCATTTTATATCTCTGATTGATAGCTGTGAGATATCTAGAGACAGACTAATATTCTGTAAAGGTATATGCTAATACTATAGGTAGAAACCTGCTTATAACCCTTATTTACAATCTTGGGACCTGTGATAGTTTTAAGTTTTACATTTTGATTTGAGAAATTTTTTGAGGGTGAAAGACTGATTTAAAAGTGACAAGATCCTCAGCTGTTACAGTAATGTTGTCTAAGTGTGTATTAAGGAAATTTTTGCTTTTAATTTGGATACATCTGCAGTGCTTCCTGCATTCTGGCCACTACCAATTGAGGACTAAGGCAAAAGTTTTGTGTTCCTCACATAGTCTAGAATTTGTTTCAAAAAATAAGTAGAGGTCTGGAGAGGTGGCTCAGTGGTAAAGAGCACTTGCTGCTCTTCCAGAGGACCCAGCTTCAGTTTCCAGCACACACATGGCAGCTCACACCTGTCTATAACTCCAGTTCCAAAGGAGCCAACTCCCTGCTTGACCTCCACAGGCAGCAGGCAAATGCATTTGAATACATGCGGGCAAAATGCTCACACACTTTTATATTCTTAAAAAAGTGACTCTCAAGAACAATAACAAAACAAAAAATAAATGAATGAATGAATAGAAATCCTGTATTAAGCTATTTTTCCCCCTCTCTGTTAGAGTTTTTCTCAAAGTGGCATAGAAAATAAAAATGGGCTTCTCACCTCCCTTATCAGGGGACTTGGGGAGGGGCATGGGTAGAGAAGGGTGAGGGGGGGTGGGGTTGGGAGGGGAGGAGGGAGGGAGCTAAAGGGGGGATACAAAGTGAATAAACTGTAATTAATAAAAATTAAATTTAAAAAAGGAAAAAAAATGGGCTTCTCTAGGGATAATATGGTAAAACATGGAAACCATTAGCAGCTGAGAGGTTAGTCCACGACATTTCTGAGCCCTCTCAGAAACATATCAAAAGAGCAGTTATCAGCTTTATCACTATTAAAACCAAGTTAGTGTTTTTCTGTTTTCACAGTCATTTGGTCTTTCCCAGTCTGGGGCAGACAGATTTATTGCTTACTTTATGGTCTTCAGTTAATCTACCTATTTCAAGTTATGAATATTACAGAAATGTTAAAGAAGAGAATGGCCTGTATTAACTGATTAAGAGTTGAATTGATTATTTAGTTAATCTACATTTTAGTTAGCTAAGCAATTAATGAGTTTATCTGCATTTCCTCTGATTAGAAATTTGTTTCCATTTTTAATAGGAAAACTTAGAAAGTGAGTTGAACTCACTTCAAGCTCAATATGATGATCTGGTATTAGACTATGAACAGATAAGAAGAGACAATGAAGAACTGAAATTGAAATTAAAAGAAAAACATGACCTAGAGGAATTTGAGGCTCTAGAAAAAAAAGCGGAGAAAGATCAAGAGGTAAGAGGGATAGAACTGAACTTAAAATGACATCATGTTTGCCAAAAGTATCATTCTCATAAGACATTGATTTTTAAGATTAAGATGTTGCTGTTTTTCATGTGTGTACACAGTTTAGAGAACTTAACCAAGAGGTAAGTAAATTATTTTTTTAAATAGCCAGACTTGTTTTCCATTGTGCTTATACAAGAAAACAAATGGAAACACCTTGAAGGGTTGAGTGGATTTCTCTTACCACAAGTGGTTTTGTTTTTTTTGTTGTTGTTGTTGTTTTGGGATGGGAGTATCTGTTTTGTTGGTCAGCTGGTTTTGATCTCATGTGGCTTACTATAAAAGTTTCAGAGCTGGCGTGGTGGTACACACCTTTAATCCAGGGAGGTAGGCAGGTGGTTTTCTATGAGTTTGAGAGATCTCTGTAGAGACCAGCTTGGTCTCTACAGCAAATTTCAAGTCTCAGGACAGCCAGCAGCCAGGGCAGTTATACAAAGAAACCCTCAAAAAAAAAAAAAAAAAAAAAAAAAAAAAAAAAAAAAAAAAAAAAAAATTCTGGTAATCAAAATGTCAAAGCTGCAAACACTTTGATAGACAACATTAAGATGAATATTTTCTCCTGTATACTTTTAAGTAGTTGAAAATCATAAAGCAGTAGCATCATTTTCAACATTTCCTGAGAATAAATAAACAAACTAAGTTGATAATCTCACACCTGTGTATGTTCTCAAGAACAGTAATAGCTTAAGTTCCTACATGGAACAGTCCTAACCCAAACCAATAGATTGACATCATGTGAAATTATGTCACTGTAGAGCCAGACAGGTAATTACTTGAAAGGAAAAACAAAAAAACAAAAACTAAGATTTCCCAAACACAATCTGTCTAAAATTTGGGTTATTAAAATCATGATTAGAGTTTGCTAATTTGCTAACTCTGTCATTGTGGCATTATGAGATAATTGAGAAAACATGCCAGGTTTCTTCTTCGTTTGTCTGTCTGGGGTTTATCTTTGTTTTCTCAAGACAGGGTTTCACTTCACTGTGTAGCCCTAGCTGTCTCGGAACTCACAGAGATCCACCTGCCTCTGCCTCCTCTGGGATTAAAAGTGTGCATTGCCACTGACCAACAAATACTATCTTGTTTGTTTGTTTGTTTGTTTGTTTGTTTGTTTTGCCCGGGCTATCCTGGAATTATGTAGCCTAGACTGGCCTAGACGCATAAATCTGCCTGCTGCTGGCTCCTGAGTCCTGGGATTAGGCACATACCTAACTCTGCTTATTTCTCTTATGGGTTCCAGTTTGTTTAGATAGTGCTTCTTTGACTTTTTTTAAAGCTCTTATTTTATTATTTATTCCATATAGATGTGTTTGTCAGTGTGTAAGTGTTAAGTATACATGTTTGAGTATAGGTACCCATACACACATCAGATCTAGTGAAGCTGCAGTTGCAAATGGTTTTGAGCTGCCTGACATGGAGGGTGCTGGAACCCAGACTTGGGTCGGCTGGAGGAAGAGCCAGTCCTCTTAACTGCTGAGCCAACTCTCCAGCTCCTATTTCCTAGACTGTAGATTAAGAGGTTCTGTTACTATAGCTTCAACCGTTCATCTCTCAATTCCTTCTGTGCTGGGTGTTTCTGAAGCAGTAAAGAATGCTTCCTTTGGTTTTCTATCTTTTTTTTTTTAACTTTATTAACAGTTGGTTTGCTGTTTCCTGTTCATATGCTTTTACAGATGCAACTAATTCATGAAATTTCCAACTTAAAGAATTTAGTTAAACATGCAGAAGTATATAATCAAGATCTTGAGGTAAACATTTATCTTAGTATTTTTCTTTTAAGTAACTACAACTTAAAATATGTAATTAAACATGATAACAGAAAAGAGGAAGTATATTAAATTTTAGTGACTTTTAATCAATTTAAAATTTTAAATATAAGTACTTTTTGTCATTTTAAATTCAAATCATTTACTAAATTCACTTTCATTGTTCTTTGATTCTTTTAGAATGAATTAAGTTCAAAAGTAGAGCTTCTTAAAGAAAAAGAGGACCAGATTAAGGACCTGCAGAAATACATAGATGCCCAGAAGGCAGAAAAGATGAAAATAGACCTGTCATGCTCATCAGTAAGTTCGAGTTTTCTTTCATTGTGTGATTGATTGGGGATTTCTGGTATGTGATCATAATCATCCTAGTAAATGATTATATTGAGCCAGCTGTGTTCTAGGCTTAGTTATAATCAATTTATTTATATTTACTATAAGCATAATTCTTTCTTTGATTAACGAACTATTAGTATCATCAACATTTTACCAGTAGAGAATTGAAGTAACTACTTTAATAGTTTTAGTTTGTTTTGTTTTTGTCCTCACTGGGTCAATGGGTGAGTGAGTGGGTTGGTTGGTTGGTTGGTAAGTGGGTTGGTTTGAAACAGGGTCTCACTGTCTAGCTCTGGCTGGCTTGAAATTCAATGTGTTGTATAAGATGGCCTCTAAATTCATAGAGATCCACCTGTGTCTGTTTCCTGAGGTCTGGGAGTAAAGATGTGTGCCAACGTACCTGGCTTAAGGTTTTTATTAAATACTAACAAGCTTCTTAGGTTATATTCCAGGCATGCTGTTATGGTATAGAAAAATATAACATAAAATACATAATAAATATATAACAGACAATAAATATATAATAAAATATCATAACATAAAATTTGTGGCCAAAATTTTTTATCCTGATTTCATTTGTTTGATTACTAGCATATCTTTATCCTTTTTTCACATACACATACATAATGTGCATCTGTGTTCTCCAGAGTATTTTCCAAATATCCCAAAACTAGATCTCTTGAGTCCCTTTTGTCATCTATCTAGGAAACCACTGAAGATTTAAAACAAGTGATGCAGACTCTGTCTGATATGGATGTTGTGGCCCTTGACGCCAAGAGAGAGTCAGCCTTCCTCAGAAGTGAAAATCTGGAACTAAAAGAGAAAATTGTAGGTAACTTTTAAGAATATATGATGATACAGCAGTTGTGATTAGTATAATGTTTTAATTTTCAATGTTTTTCCAATAGAATGAACTTTCAGATTCTTGTAAGCAAATGCAAAATGACATTCAGCTGTATGAGCGTCAACTAGAGGCTAAAAAGAAAATGCAAGTTGATCTGGACAAAGAATTACAATCTGCTTTTCAAGAAATATCGAAACTCACGGCCCTGGTCGACGGCAAAGGTATCGGCACACTGACCTGGAAACTTAGTAAAGGAACTATATTAAGTGCCTGCTGAGTTCTTATTTTTTAAAAGAATTTAATGTTCAATTTAAATATCGTTGATATCAGTGTTCCTGAAGATTTCTATGTTTGTTGCCAAAGTATGCTACATATGGGCATCATAATGAGTGAGGGTTTAAAATTATTTTTCCAATGCAATGGACACAGCTTGAGAAAGGTGGTTCAAAATCTATTAAAAATTAGATCACTTTTTTTGTCAACATAGGTTTACTGTCTAATTTGGAACTGGAGAAAAGGATTACTGATCTCCAAAAAGAACTAAATAAAGAGGTTGAAGAAAAAGAAACTTTGCAAAAAGAAGTTAACTTGCTCGTGGAACTGAAATCTTTGCCATCTGAGGTAGAAATGCTGAGGAAAGAGGTAAGCAGACAGAAGACACCATACCGTCTGCTCCAGCATACACTGGGAAGAAGTTCAATTCATGCTCTCACTTGCTCTTACCAAACTTGATAGAAAAACAATGTTTTCAAGCCTGGGGGTGGTGGCGCACACCTCTAATCACAGCACTGAGGAGGCAGAGGCAGGTTTTCAAGGCATTTTTTAACACTGCATAGTAACATAGCCCATGCAGCAGCTGTGTCTGCTCGCCAAGTGTATTTTCAGAGCTTTGGCTTAGTCTTCTTATCTACTTCTTGGTACTAGTCATATCACTGTGGTGAACAGAAAATAAGAGGGTATCTGAAGATGGTAGTTTTTGCCTATGATCCCAGCATTCAAGAGGCTGAAGTGGGTTTATTGGGAGTTCCAGACCAGCTGGGGCTACAGTATTAGACTATGACAAAAACAATTGTCTGTGGCGTACATGTATGTACTCTCCTGCTAAGGCTCAGGGAGCACCAGAATGGAAGGGATGGAAGATTGTAAATTTGCATTATAACATTGAAGCTAACAACTCCTGTAAATTCCGTTTCCCAGGGGATCTGGCCTCCATGGACACTGCATGTAGGCAAAGCACCAACACACATAATATAAATAAATAAATCTCAAAAAATAGCAAGGTTGACAGTTAATAATGATAGTGTTCGGAGATATTATAAATTTTCCAGGTTAGGTGAGAATGAGCCTTCAGGCTCAAGGCCTATCAGCTTTTTTCTCTCTCTACCTTTTTAAAAGAAATAAAAGTACCAAGAATTTGAGTGCTTGCTATATGGGAAATATCTTGCTAAAGAATTTGCAGGTATAAACCAGCATCTCACAACATGTGGTTCTTGACCCTTTTAGGGCCGAACAAACCTTTCACAGGGGTCGCCTAAGACCTTCATATCAGATATTTATATTATATATCAGATAATTGCAGTAGCAAAATTATAGTTATTAAGTAGCAATAAAATAACTTTATAGTTGTGTTTGTCATACCTTGAGGAACTGTATCAAAGCATTAGGGTTGAGAGGTGCTGCTGTAAACATTTAACAACTAAGCCCCTTTACTTCTCAGTACATGAGAAGAGCAACTGATACGATTTTTCAGACCCAAAAAGTTGTCGAGTTAGTCGCTGAAGCACACAGATGTGCCTTCTAAACCAGTAGCAAATGTGCTGTTGCCCTTCTTTTTGTGGGCTTTTTTAGCTCTCTCATCTTTCCCTTTTAAAGAGATTGAACTATCCATGAATCTATTGTGCATTATCTAATCATTTAAACAATGCTTCTTAATTTTTAAAAGCATAGTTTATACGTACATTAAATTTTTAGTAATTTGACTTGAAGTCAGTGGCTTTAGTTCAGGGTGAGGTAAGTCAGATTTTGAGGAAAACCATAAAATGTCTCCCACATGGTCATGTTAGAAAACACGGCAGTGGTGGAGCACACCTTTCATCCCAGTGATTAGGAGGCAGAGGCAGGCAAGTCCTCATGAGCTTGAAGCCAGTCTGGTTTATAGAGGAAGTTGCAGGGCCCCTAGGCTACGCAGAGAAAACCTGTCTCCAAAAAATAAAATAAAGGAAAGAAAGAAAGAGAAAGAAGGAAAGAAAAGATTTTTAAATGATAGCCTAGGAAATAGTTATCTGATAATTAAATACATGACTTTCTCCATATATTCTTTAACTGGACCGCAAAGACATCCTGAAATAGAAAACACTGAAGATGGATTTAAACAGGCTAAGGGAAGAGTTAATGACCCGAGCATTGCCTTCCCCTGGACAGAGTGGCTGAGTGCTGGCCGAGCATGTGCAAGCTCTGAGTTCCATCCTCAGCTGCAAGGAGAAATCACCTTTCCTCAGTCAAATCCTGGCTTAACTTAAATTGTTCCTCAAAGTTGCTTCAGGGTATCTATCATATCTTGTAACATCCCTAAATCTTACTTCTTTTCCATAGCTGCATGAGAAATCTGAAGAGCTTTCTATAATAGCAACAGAAAGAGAAAAGTTGTTTTCTGAAGTAGCTCATAAAGACAGTAGAATTCAAGGTTTACTTGAAGAGATTGGAAACACGAAAGATGACCTTGCAGCTTCCCAGCTGAATAACAAAGGCGATGATGAAGAATGCCAGAGGCTGAGAAGCCTTCATGTGGCACTTGAGCACGAATATGAAGTGGTACTGGAGGAGAGGGAGAGAATGAAGCAGGAAATAGGGAATCTCTCTAAAGAAGCGGAAAGCCTTGGTTTAAGTTTGGATTCCTTAAAGGCGGAGGTTGGTATATATATATACTGGTGAGAAGAGGAATGGGCTTTTGTTTTCCTGAGTACTGTCTGCATATGTGTGTCCATCTCTATGTGTGATACAATGTTCTGCTTTACTGTGCCCCATTTTTTCTTTAAAGCTTTCTCACAAGTCTCAAGAGCTTGAGCAGAAAACAAGCGAAGGTCAAGAGAGGCTAAATGAGGTGGAGGAGCTGAGAGAAAAGTTAAAAAGCAGAGATTCCAGCCTGCAGTCTGTGGAGAAGGAGAAAACTCTGCTTACTGAGAAGCTTCAAGAAACGCTGGAGGAAGTGAGAGCCCTAACCCAAGAAAAGGAAGAGCTAAAGCAGCTGCAGGCCAGCCTGCAGACGGAGAGGGACCAACTTAGAAGCGACATCCAGGACACTGTGAACATAGTAAGGTTCAGCCGCTTAGAACTGCAGGTCTCATACATGGTCAGTAGTAACTATAAAATCAGAGTGCTTCACACGCTAATGGAAATTGTTCTTTCTCTCACAAAGAATGTAGATACTCAAGAACAGTTGCGAAATGCTCTCGAGTCTTTGAAACAACACCAAGAAACTATTAACATGCTGAAAATGAAAGCTGCTGAGGAAATGTCCAAGACTTTGCATATAAAGGACGGGGGAGAAGCTAGAAGTGAAGTTGAGCAAAAGGTAAAGTGGGCTTTCCATATGCTTCTGTAGGTGTTTCTTTAGCACCAGACAGCCTTGGTTTCCCCACAGTGATGGACGGTAACCTGTAAGCTGAAAAAAACCCCTTGCCCCAGTTGCCCCTGACCAACGTCCCATCACAGCATCAGAAACCTAACTAGGACAGTACCCAAATGAATAAGGAAGTAGAAAATATGAGATTTTAGGATAGAAAAAATGTTCAGAAAAAGTACTAATGTAAAAAGCCCAGAGGCAACAGCGGGCTTTGAAGGCTGTGTAAAAACCTCTCAGTGCATAGGAAGACGAAATCTGAGACTAGGATTTGACACATGATCTTCAACAGAGACAAGACCATGAAGAGCATGGCAAAACTACTGCAAGCATGGACTTTTTTCAGAATCTGTTTTACAATGGATTCTCTTTCAAAATGATGCCAGGCCACTCCACCCTGTGTCATAGAACATTTATTTTAAAAAAGTGTTGATTTTCCAGCGCTTGCTTATCTGCCCGAGGAATCCTTATTTTACTTTTACAAAAGCCCATGTATTACTTCTATTGCTTTCTTGTTGCTATGACAAAATACCTAACAAAAGCAATTTAAGGAAAAATCTGTTATTTTGCCTCTCAGTGTAAAAGGCACACACAATCTACCGTAACAGGGGAGTTACAGCAGCAGAAATGTGAGGCGCTGGTTGAGACATACTTCCAGTCAGGAAGCAGAGAGAGGGGAGCTCAGCTCCCTTTCTCCTTTCTATTCAGTCAAGGACCAACTCACTGACTCTACTGCCCACATTGCCCACTTTAAGACAAAGTCTCTTTTTTCTTATTCCCACTCAGGGGAGTGAATGATATCTTTAACATCCCTTTTGTAACAAAAAAACAAAGTACTATCATGTGTAACTTAGAAAATATTTAACGAAGATATATAGACAAGGAAGGCATATATTTTTATTATTATCTAGTCAGTTTGAATAAATAAATATATAGAGAGTCAGTTTAAACTCTCTTACTTGAAAATTGCAATGTGTACTACTATCTGGACAGTTCAGTTATCAGTGACCAGGTCTAAATGCCAATCCTGGACCGCTTGAGTCCAAAGCTAGTTCTTTGCTCTCTGCATAATCTGACATCATAAATGATTTACCTCTCTCAAATTTACGTTCCATAATTACCAAGTAGGGACAGTAATAATGCCTGCCTCCGGAGGTCGTAGAGGAGAGTCAGTGTGTTGATAGGTACTGATACTTGGTACGGAATGGAAGTGACAGAGACTTTACTAATATTAAAGTAGTTATTCACTACTTAAATTCTTTAATGTATTCATATTTTAGATGGCTGACATGGTTGAAGAACAGACTCTACTGGCTGAAAACACCCAAATGTTGATTGCAGGTGATAAGGACAATGACGTAACTGAGGAACAGAGGAAAATATGTTCTTTAATGCAGGAGAATAATAGACTCCAACAAGCACTGGAAAGTGTTATAGCAGAAAAGGAACAACTGAAGATGGACCTGAAGGAAAATATCACAGTGGTAGGCTCTGGCCCTCTACAGTTGGCCATATGTTTTGTCTGTTTAGTTTGGCTTCTATTAACTTTATTTGAATATAATCTGCATGCAATGAATGTGCCATGGGAGTGTATGGTTGCATGACTTTTGGCAAATGTCTCTGCCTAATTAGTCACAGGTATTATGTGTTAATGTGGTAATAATTTGCCAGGTTGATTTCCAAGTCAGTTCTACCATTTCATGTTCTCATTAACAAACGAATAGAATTCTTGTGGCTCCGTATCTCCCTGGAACAACAATTTATATGTATTTATGCTTTTAATCTTAGCCATTCTTTTTATAATGTACCTATTTTACCTTGTCTTTCCCTTAAAACAAAGGATGTTGAACATTTTTCATAAATAATTAGCCACTGACTATCCTTAATGATTTTTTTTTCTTCATGTTGCATTATAGCTGGTGTGTATTGTACATATTTTGTTAAATTAGTTCCTAAATGTTTTTCTTTTACTATTGTGGCTTTTAATTTTGCTTTAAATCATTCATGTTTGCCAGTATTCCCATACTTGGCTCAGTTTTTGTTGTTGTTGTTTTTTTTGTTGTTTTTTTTTTTAATCTGTTGCAAGGTTCTATAATCTATGGGTTGAAATTAATAATTTAGAAAATTCACTGAGGATCCAGTAGAACTTGACACTTTGTGGTATTTTAATTTTCTATACTTAGAAGTATCTGGTTTAATCAACAAACTGAATGAAAATGAGCATGCAAACACAAAGCGATTCTTTTTCTAACTTGTTCTGCTTTGGTGATCTTCTTATACAAGCATGTTGTTGTGTGGTCTTAATAATGAATTAGCCCACATCCACCATTGTGAATGGTCATTGATCAGTGCTTAAATCTAGTCATAAAAGCATAAGAAAAACATGTGACTTTAATCTCTCTGGCCACTGAAAGCAGACTAACATCTCTTTACAGTTGTCTTTTTCTACGGAGTTTCACTTTGCTTTATTCATTTTGAGTCAAACACTTTTGTAAAGGCAAGCTAATAATAAAAATTGTAATCTGGAACTTTTTAAAAAAACTCTAGAGTATTGAAAACCAGGAAGAATTAAGAATTCTTAGAGATGAACTTAAAAGGCAACAAGAGCTGGCTGTACAGGAAAAAGATCATGCCACAGAGAAGAGTGAGGAGCTCTCCAGGGCATGTGAGAGACTGACAGAAGTAGAAGAAGAGTTAAAGGAAAAGGTGAACTTCCAATGCTATCTTCTTGACTGTTCTGACTGCACATTTTGCTAATAAATCCTGATTCCTCCATCTTAAATCTCTCCAAAATGGGAAGGTATCAATGCTCACAGTTTGACATTTCAATTTGAATTAAATTCTTAGTTAACATCCCTTGCAAAGATCATATAATTATAGCATCTTTAGGTGAGAGGCAGGCAGCCTTATATTGTCTAATTTAATCATACAGTATTGCCATCCATCAAATATTTATTGAGTACTGTCAAGGATTAGACCCTCTCCTGAGTACTTGAGATATATTAGTTAACAAACAAAAGTTCTTCCCATGTGGATCTCTGTTAGTGTATCTCTGAAACATATGTCTACTCACATCACCGTATTGGATGCTAGCAGGATCCTGAATTAATGGTAAAAGAGAAGTGCTGTCGAAAGACATATGTAACCTGAGACGATGAGAAGTGACTGTGAGTGACTCTACACTCGCAAGTTCCTTCGTTTAGGATGAGAAGGATTGCATCACTGGATTGCATACTGCAGCTTGTGTCATTGTTCTGAGAAGTAGCCTATTTTTTTATCCTGATCTTTTTTATAAATCATATAACTGAATTTACTATAAAACTTTGTGTTTCTCTCTCTTTCTCTCTCTCTTGCTTTGTTTTGTTTTTTTCAAGACAGGGTTTCTCTGTGTAGACGTGGCTGTCCTGGACTTACTCTGTAGACCAGGCTGGGCCCGGAACTCACAGAGATCTGCCTGCCTCTGCCTCCCCCAGTGCTGGGATTATGGGTGCACACCACCGTGCCTCACTTTCCTGTGTGTTTTCGTACTCTTCCAGGAAGTGAAATCAACAGCTGGTAAAAGTTGATGCTTCTGAGTTTATCTGGACTACCCCTAAGCATCCTGTTAGAAGTAGAAAGATAGATAGATAGATAGATAGATAGATAGATAGATAGATAGATAGA